AATGCTGGCAAATAGGACTAGAATTATTTAGGATATCTGGTCAGCATAGACGAGATGGACCGAAGGGTCTGTTTCCATGCTGTACATTTCTGTGACTCTAAGATAAACGTAGACATGCTTGTATGTAGTGTAACAAGACAAATAACACCAAACTAAGGAGTTGCATTAGCAGGACTATTTATTGTTTCACAGATGGAAACACAAAAATGGGTATCTTAAGCCCTTCATTTTAAGCCCCTTTCTCCTCTCTCCTTCTGACTTTCCACCCTGCAACGGCTCTGTACATGTACTAGTCATCAACTGAGAAGATGTGCAGATATCTTGTCCCATGAATTTTGCCAAGGAATTCAGCCTTCAGAATGATACTAGTCATTCTGTGATGAAATACCCTCTTGGTACACTCCCTGTGGAGATATTTCCCACTCAGCATTTCCTCCTACTAGACTGGCCAACATCAGGAGCTCACAAAACAAGTGCACCGCAATGGCTAAATTCACTCCCTGCCTCTGTCTCTCAGATGATGCATTGGAATGATGATGCACTAATAGCCTTGGGCTTCCCTCTTAAGCATTTTCCAAGTTCACAGTTTCCGCACCATTGCCACCCGTTTCCCCCAGTGATAAAGGAATTTAAAATGGCATCTAACGGGAAACAAAAACTAAGAATTCTTTTTCTCTCTCAAAGCAGAAGTAAACACAGCGCGGAATTTTACGTCATTCATCTGGAGGTGACCCATTTCCTCACACGCTTCTGTTAACGAACAAATGGTCAGGAAATCAAACGGCAGCGGGGTGGCATCGGTGCACCCTCTCACATCCACCGCTCTCAATCACAGAACAAAATGAGAACACAAAACTGCATCCACGCTCAAACCCATTCGCCGAACTTCTTTTCCAAAATTATAAAATTATCAGGTTAGCCGAATCAACTCTAAGTAACCAGATTCTGTCCAAATTCCACTGAACCAACTAAAGTTTTGAGACTTCAACCTGCACCCCAGTCACTCCTCTGTACTTATATGCCTGCTCTATCTACCTTTGAGGGTGTTTCAATGCTCCTCGTTGTCACTGATGACCGGCGTTTCCTGAGTGTGGCAGACAGCGAAGGAGTGGTGGGCACCCTGCTGTTTGTGGCCTCTGGCCCAGCTAGTGGTGGGCTGGAGTTAAGGTTAGGCACGGCCCCGGATGGGCCGTGAACCTCATTCTTGTCGGTTTGACAGGCGACTGAGATCTGCTCGGAAGGACCGGGCACTAGGACGGCACTGACATCACGCAGGAGCTCCACCAAAACTGACATCTGGCTCGACAGCCTGACCAGCCTCTTGCCTAATTTCCGGGAAAAACTATTGATTCCTTCTCCCAAGATTTCTTGCAGCTGCATCAGGTCTCTGTGCAGCATGTGGAACCCTTCCTGCTGTAGCTCCAAGAATTTGGAAGCAAGGACCTCCCCTACCTCTCCCTCTGGCTGCTGACACCCAAACACAACATTTCTATATTGGCCAACCTCCCTGGTTCCCCTAGAAAGACTCTTGGAGAATCTCTGGGCTGGACTATCCTGGAAACTCTCCTCCTCCTCCTTTGGCAGGTAGTCTCTCAGAGCTGCTGGAGTGGCCCAAGGGTCGGAGTTACCAGCTGTCACATCGTGGCTACTATCCCCACGTGAAGGCTCCATGGACCCGCTCCCTCTGGTGGTGTCTGACCTGGATGTGGCGATGAAAGGGGGGCTGGGCCGGTTGCTGAACTCTGAGGATGAGAACCATTGAGATATTACAATATTAAATATGAATGTTTGACCCCCCGCCTTCCACCCCACCTCACTGTCCTACACATTTAATCAAGTGCCTTCAAGGATCAACAATGAGAATAAAAGAAGACTGCAGTACTGAATCATCATCCTCATATCAGGGCGAAAATCACCTAAATTGCGCTTAGTATCCAGGGATGTATAGGCTAGGTGGATTAGCCATGGGAAATGTGGGATGGGGTGGGGGGCCTGGGTCTGGGTGGGATACTCTTCAGAGGATCTGCATGTACTCAATGGGCCGAACGGCCCGCTTCCACACAATAGGGATTCTACGGTTCTATCTAAACTGGTTTTGTTGCCCTGGTAACTTTTGAAAATCACTCAGTTGAATAACATTTGCGTTTTCAATAAGATGTCTAGTAACATTATTTTCTCATAAGTCCCAAAACCTATTCAACCGGAACACCCTCCCACCACTTCAATAGCTTCTCTGTAATTGAATGAATGATTGTACCATTGTGTACAATCAAACCAGGTATATTTTAAGGCCTGCCTGTTAACATATTACCACTTTTTGTGGAAAGAGAGTTCTGTTTAACTTCCTTTCTTGCGCCTAGCTTCCCAAAATTTTGACACGTCTGCCCCAACATTTGAATCCCTTTGACACTATAATCTTTACCCCCACAGGCTCCTTTTTTTAACCGCAAACAAGTCCATCTTCCTGAACTATTCCCGAAGAGACATGAAGAAAAGTCCAGGATTGAGCACCCTGTCCAAACCTTCTGAGTTGCGGACAATGTACAATCCTACCATACCTCGAGAATTTTTTTAAAAAGCTAAATTCAGAGAAGAAAAGCGAAGTAAACCTTCTCTCTGAACAAAAGTCCACGTGTCAGTCGCTTTGCAGAACATCACTCCTTAAAATATCACACCTTGTCATGTGCATTAACAATCTATTTAACTCACATTACAAAGCGTCAAGTCATAATTGAGTCATTAAAATGAGAGAACGAAAGCCTGTAACTACCTGCTGATTTCTTCTGTGTCTTACGATCTAGCCTCTCTCTCAGAGAGTGGGGTTGCTATGTGCTAGGAGCTCCTCATTTGAGCAACTTTCTTTGGCACAACTACCTGCAATTGACCTCGTGAGTTCCTCATATGGAGCATTTCCCCCCCAGGCACAAGACGGGCCGCTGTCTCAGGTGAGTGAGTAAACAAGCTCAGCAGGTCTGGCAGCATCTGTGAAGAAAACATCACAGTTAACGTTTAGGGTCCGGTGACCCTTCCTCAGAACATTCTGAGCAACATCACCGGACTCGAAACGTTAACTCCGATTTTTTCTCCACAGATGCTGCCAGACCTGCTGAGCTTTTCCAGCAACTTCTGTTTTTGTTCCTGTTTTACAGCATCCGCAGTTCTTTCAGTTTTTAAACAAGCTCAGCATTGCTGATAGTACTCAAGATCCCCACCCCCCACAAGGCTACTGCATCACAAGGTGACTACTTTTTATTAGCAAGTATCATGCAAGTTGTTCTGTACATGAATGGTTTCAAATTAAGTATGCCTTTGTGCAAGTAGATGAAGTAAACTGGTGTACCAAATAGCAGTTATCTACAATTTCTAGGATGCTAATTAATCAGTGCCATAGGCATCAATTTCCAATCCCAGACATGGCCTCTGAGGAGATGAACTTGAAAGGTTTGATTCATTTGTGAGAGGAAGTAAAGCTGGTTATGCATATCCCCCCAACCCCCACAACTTCATTAGCCTCAAAGGCTTCGTCAACAACACCCAGACCATGCAAAATGACATAAGGATACAAGACCGTCTCAAGTTTGATCGCCAACCTCATTGAGTTAAACAATCCCACTGAGTCAGCTACAATAGGCCTCTGAGACTGTGAATAGAAGAAGTTGAGAATGCAATAAAATGCGTGGCTCTGCACCATGCTGCACACCTTCATTTAGGGCGGCATGGTGGCTCGGAGATTAGCAGTGCTGCCTCACAGCACGAGGGACTTGGGTTCAACTTCCACCCTCGGGCAACTGTCTGCATGGAGTTTGCACATTTTCCCTGTGTCTGCATGGGTTTCCTCCAGGTGCCCCAGTTTCCCTCCACAGTCCAAAGGATGTACACATTAGGTGGATTGGTCATGCTAAATTGTCCAGGGATGTGCAGGCTAGGTGGGTTAGCCAGTGGAAATGTGTGCTCACAGGAATAGAGTAGGGAGTTGGGTCTGAGTTGGATGCTCTTCGGACGGTCAGTATGGACTCGATGGGCCAAATGGCCTGCTTCCACACTGTAGGGATTCTATGATCACTATTCAATGACCTCGCTGGTTAGCACTTACATGTGGATTCTTGCCGAGACAGAATGGGGGTCAGAATTACATTGACTGAAATTCTCAAAACTGAGATGACTGTAATTTCTGTCAGGCAAAGGATTAAAGAGCAAAACAGAAATTGCTGGAAAAGTTCAGCAGGTCTGGCAGCATCTATGCAGAGAAACCAGAATTAACGTTTCAGGTCTGTAGTGACTGGAACAAGGTTAGCCAGGTGGATCTCAATGAGAATGAGGTGCTTGTCTGGGGCTGTTACCTTGGGCCAATCAAGCAACCCTGGCTGACAGATATAAATGGGAGTCACAAGGATTCTCCTCACTTTAGGGACAGGGCCTGAGCTCAGAATCCATCTACTGTGCACGTGTAAATAAAGGGTGACATGGTGACGTGACACCAGCCTCCTTGGAGTTATTTCAGGGTCCAGTGAATTTCTCTCCACAGATGCTGCCAGACCTGCTGTGCTTTTCCAGCTATTTCTGTTTTGTTTCTGATTTCCAGCATCTGCAGTACTTTCAGATTTTACTTAAAAGATTAAGGAGATTTGGGTTAAAGTTAACCAAGTCGAGCAAAGATTTGAGATTCAGATCATTCACAATCTAACTGAATAACGCAAGTAGCCTGACAGGCTGAATGGCCAACCCACATTCCCAGGAGTTGATGATTTCAACAAAGGTGTCTGTAACACCGTTGGGGTTTTCAGGGGACGGGGATGCAGCTTGGCACTTATACAAGCATTAGACGTATGTGCACTACTCAGATAAGAAATTAATTGTTTGCACATCTACCACAACCATCTCTAAACACAGAATGCAGTCTGACCATGCACAACACTGCCAAACTTGCCCTCACCAGACATTTACACGGGCACAATTCTAAACAGACTTCACTCCACATGTTTATGTTCCACAAGACTTACCTAACGCAGATTCTTCATCATCGTCAATGAACTTGGTGTAGTCCTGAACAATCTTCTTTGGCTGGCCTTTACGTTTGTGTCTTCGTCCTACTGTGCTGACTTCATTTATCTCATCTGATAACAAAATAATTATTTTTTAAAAAATCATTGTTCAGAAATCACTCTGCTGCGTAATGCTGACAGTTAATTATCCACTTGCTCACACATTTTAATCTACCAATTGAGTGCAAGCATCTTTCAGAAAGCTAACTTGATGAAAGATGATAATATATTCGTCTTTTTATGGCTGATTAAGTTTCATGATACGTCAATATTTTTTGTACTTGATTCAGAATGTAAATCCTAATGTCCTTTAAGGCAGAAACCTGCTCTCCTTGCCAGGTCTGACTTACATATGACTCAATATACACAATGGGTTACAGAGGAGGCAATGGCCTAGTGGTATTATCATGAGACTATTAATCCAGAGACTCAGCTAATATTTTGGGGTCCTGGGTTCAAATCTCACCATGGCAGACATTGGATTCAACAAAGAATCTGGAATTAAGAGTCTAATGATGATCGTGAATCCACTGACGATTGTTGGAAAAACCCATTTGCTTCCATTTGCTATGGAAGGAAACTGCCATGTTTACTGGGTCTGGCCTACAACTGACTCCAGACCCACACCAAGGTGGTCTACTCTTAACTGTCCTCTGGACAATTAGGGATTGGCAATAAATGGTGGCCCACCTAGTGACTCCTTCATCCCATGAATGAATAAAGGAAGTCAGCTGTGGTTCGTTGGTATAGCTAGGGCAGCACAGTTGCTCAGAGATTAACACTGCCACCTGGGTTCAATTTCACCCTTGGGCAAGTGTCTGCATGGAGTTTGTACGTTCTCCCCAGTCTGTGTGGGTTTCTTCCAGGTGCTCTGGTGTCCTCCCAAAGCCCAAAGATGTGCAGGTTAGGTGGATTGGCCATGCTGAATTGCCCACAGTGTACAGGGATGTGTAGGTTAGGTGGGTTAGCCATGCAAACTGCAGGATTACAGGGAGAGGGTAGAGTTGGTGGGTCTGGGCGCATGGTCTTTGAAGGATTGGAGTGAACTTGATGGGCCAAATGACCTGCTTCCACACTGTAGAGATTCAATGATTCTTTTGTTTTTCTTATTCATTCATGAGGGTGTCGCTGGCTAGCAGCATTTATTGTCCAGAGGGCATTCAAGAGTCATCCGCATTGCCGTGGGTCTGGAGTCACAGGTAGGCCAGAGATAAGGATGGCAGTTTCCTTCCCTAAAGGATGTTAGTGAACCAGATGGGTTTTTCTGACAATCAACAATGGATTCATGGTCATCATTATATTCTTAATTCCAGATTTTAATGAATTCAAATTCCACCAACTGCCATGGTGGGATTTGAACCCAGGTCCCCAGAATATTATCTGGGTCTCTGGATTAACAGTCCAGCGATATATCACTAGGCCGTCGCTTCCCCTGTCATTCACTCCTGTCTACAGGTTGTGGTTTTGTGTGTCTCAAGTGTGCCACGTAATCTTGGTTTCTAGATTCCCACTGATGTACTATTTGGATGGAATGTTAAAATAAGATTTCAGATCTCTCAGAGAGATGTCAAAAGATTCTACAATGCTATTTGAGGAACAGCAAGGTATTTTCCCCAAGTCAATACTTCCCCTCAACCAACATCACTAAAGCAGATAAGATCATAGAATCCCTACAGTGTGGAAACAGGCCCTTCTGCCCAACAAGTCCACACCAACCCTCAGAGCATCCCACCCAGACCCATCCCCCTATAACCCACCCCTGAACTCGACAGGCAATTTAGCATGTCCAATCCACCTAATAATCTGCAATATAGTTGGATTTACCATTCTGTAGGTGATAGAGAGGACAGATGTGTCATGCTGATCGAAATAATTAAATGGGGTCATCACCAATTATCCATTGTTTGCCTTGGCACAGTTATTAGGACATTTGTCTTTGCCACAGATGGCTGAGGGTCAGAGCCCTAATATCAGAAAATTAAATTCTTTATCAAAGATTAATTACTCATAATCAACATCAATGCTTTCAATCTGCAGCACTTTTAAGCCAGTTAGGAATTCTACTTTTGCGTGAAACAGGAAGGCTGGCACAAGTTCTTTGAGAAGGTGACCAAACAGGTGGATGAGGGTAAAGCGGTTGATGTGGTGTATATGGATTTCAGTAAAGCATTTAATAAGGTTCCCCATGGTAGGCTATTGCAGAAAATACGGAAGCATGGGATTGAGGGTGATTTAGCGGTTTGGATCAGAAATTGGCTAGCTGTGAGAAGACAGAGGGTGGTGGTTGATGGGAAATGTTCATCCTGGAGTTCAGTTACTAGTGGTGTACCTCAAGGATCTGTTTTGGGGCCACTGCTGTTTGTCATTTTTATAAATGATCTGGATGAGGGCGTAGAAGGATGGGTTAGTAAATTTGCGGATGACACCAAAGTCG